CTATTTTATTATATTATTTCAACTAACCCAACCGGTTTCTTGTTTTAATAATTGTAAAATCATTAACAATAAAATTGTTTAAAATTAATAAAATTATATTAAACTATTAATATAAGTTTTTAAAGAAGTCAACAGTCACAATGTATTTCCCTGTTTAGTTCATTGAACGTTTATTAAGTTGAAGATTTTCCTTTAGCATCGTGGCTTGGGATTGTAAAAAGGAAAGAAACATATTTTTAAAAATTTAGAGCCTTAATATTTATTCACATTTTTAAAAATAATCTATCTATTTATATCCGATGATATTTTTCTCGAAACCACAGTTTGAACAAAAAAACAATGTCAAGTTCTTAGAATTGGACTCAACGTCTAATTAAAATGTTAGCGTTAAACGATAAAAATCACGTTTCAAACATATTTTAAACTGTTTAAAACATGCTTAATTAATGTTTTTAACGTGTATTTTTTGTTGTTTTAAACATGTTTTTTCAATATAATGTATAACTGTTTAAAACATGTAAGAAGCATTAAAAACATGTTTGAAAAAAAAAACACAATGTTTTATTTAAAAAAAAAACATTATCTAGTATCATTTTCTATAGTACAATAGTATATAGTGACCATAGAGCTTATACTACTAGGGGGAATACGAACGTCGAGCTGTGAGCAAGACTGAGAGACGGAAGATGTATTTCTGTCCTCTTCTATCTTCTTTTGGCACATGCGCAGGAAGAAGAAAAATTACTAAGCAGGATAGAAATATACATCTTTTGTCTCTCAATCTTGCTCACACTTTCCACTCATTGCATGAATAGGCTACATTTCTCCTCTAGTAGTATAAGCTCTATGATAGTGATATGTAAATTATTATCTGTGTGTAAGTCCTGCTTAATCGGTAAAGTAGACCGACGCTAGTCTTTAGAATCCCCTTAAAATTAGAGAGCTAAATAAAAAAAAGTTAACTCTTAAGAATTAAGCTCTATGATGTTTCGAAATTACACAAATGAAATGAATACTTGTTTAGAAAATTCTTAGAATATAGCTACATAATAAAGAATATAATTACAATATTATTATTGATTCTATTCCTTTAAATCCTAGATATTCTATTTCGTAAAAAATTTTATTTAAATTATCCAATATTTTTTCGCGTTACAAATAATTATGATCTTCTCGTTAAGTTTTTCATAAATTATTATTTTAAATAATTGCTTAATATCGGACAAAATACTTCCGTCTATTCATTTTTCTCAAATGATAGTAAATATCAGATCATCGTTTTGAATATCGAAAGACAAAATGTGAAAAATATTTCCTTCAACCGACGATATATTGACAGTCGGGTCAACATTGTTACCACGTCTGTTGATGCAAGTGCTGTGATTACAGAGAGACGCGAATTGAATTTGCAATCATCTCGCGTAAATTGTCGAGACCGTCTTTAATCTCTCTCTGTCTCTTGCAACTTGCTCCAGGCTCAATCTTAATAGTCGTAAAAGGTAATTCGTGAATGTCCATCTGGCACAGGCATGTCGTTACACGGAATCTGTTACGGTACATTAATTTTAAACATCACCTATTCGACGAAATCACGACCGGACATCGTAGCTAGGCTTTCTCTCTCGGCTCTAATCAATAGACGCTAAAGGATTACGACACGATTTACGCTACTCCCTCGAGCTGCGACAAACTTTGAATAACTTGTTGACAGTGAATACATAACTGAATACATAACTGAATACATAATTATTCATCATGACAGAATTTTTTAGATAAATCTATTAATAAAATCATAAATTTTTTAAATAAGTTCACTGTGTAAGATTTTGAAATTGGAAATCTAATAAGACACAATAATACCTCAAACTAATTATTTTGCACCGGTTTTCTATTAAAAATAACGTATGCATATAATATACTATACATGTACGTACATATATTATATACAATATACATATAAATATATGTGTAATATATATATATATATATTTTTTTTTTTCTTATCGATATATTTAATTTCAGATTATAATGAATTTTACTAAATTTTATTTAAGGGAAAGTTGTAAGATGTATTATTTATTTAAAAAATTAACTTCCCTTTTCTCTCTCTCTCTCTCTCTCTCTCTCTCTCTTGTCTTCTAAATGATAAATATTACATATATTCTAGTCATAAGCGTTCCGTAATGGCGGTGAAACTTGATATACCCTTGATTGAATCTTGTGCCCTTTTAAGTCTTAAGAGGAGTGTTCGAAGGTATCCTCAGAACAAGAACAAGAAGCGTGTCATACGGATTTTTTTCGGCCCATTAAAAGGGAGCGCCCGCTTTGAATTCAAGTATCTCAAGTAATTACCAAAGATAATTCGATGAGGGTCTAAAGCCACCGTGAAGAGGCCAGCAGCAGAGTACCATCGTCGAGATGATGTCAAGAGGATAGGTTGAAGGTCGTCTTGAAAGGAGTTTGGAGTAAGAAACGTGCATTGGAATAAAGAGAACAAGAGATTGGGGAGAACAAGAGTGACGTTCGATCAACAATGAGACGAATGGAAATCACTAAAGAGGTATGTCTCCTTTCTTCTAACAATAAGATACAATGATTGAACGTAGTTAACGACAAATTTGTATAATAAAACATTCTAATATTATTAAAATATAAAAATACTTGGTACATTACTTGGTAAAAATAAATAAATTTCTCTTAAAGAGTTATGAATGTTTTGTGCACAAAAAAAGACATTTTCAATGAGACGCTTACTGTTAATTGAGAAAAGATATATAAAAAAAAACTTTTTATAAACTATGGCTTTCTTGTATAATTATTAGGAGATTTTATGAGACAATGACACACATAAAAAATTACAAAAAAGAAATTTTATTAAAGCTTATAAATAATTAAAAAGTGTCGATTTTTTTGTTTTACCACGATATATCACAAATGGAAATAGATATTAATAAGCTAATTTTAAAATACGTGTCTTAAAATATCTACAAATTAAACTTCAAAATTAAATTAAAAAAAAAACATTTTTTAAGTTTTAACTCAATAAAACTTATGATTTTTAAAAAAAATTAGATTTTTTTATTGCTATTTAAAAAAATTTTTTTGTAATTTATATTAGATTAATTCATTTTACATTAGAAATTCAATTAATGAAATACCATCTATAAACAGAATTGAAATTTTAAAAAATTCTGTTTGGTTTTCGCCAAATCGTGGATGAAAAATGTACAATATCACTGAGGAAACCATAAGAAATAATATTTTTTAAATTATTCATAATTTTTTATAAAATTATATTTTTCAACTTTTTGTACGTCATTTTCTCACAAAATCATTAAAGTTACATTTGTAAAAAGTTTTTTATGTATCCTTGATTAATCGTAAGTATTTTACTGTATATTTTTCTGCGCAAAGATTATATAATCTCCTAATTTACATGTTTACTTGTGATTCTTTTCTAAAATTACTTCCTAAAATTATGTTGTCTTCACTTATATGTATGTGCTTTTTACTGTAGCAAGTTAAAAAAACATTTTTTATATTCAAAAACACAAAAACAACTTTCAACAACTTCAAAAAGCATAACACTTTTTCGCTCGCAATAGAATGAAGTAAGGATAAAATAATTCTAGTCATAGCAGCCAAGTCCTTTGTCTTTCGAGAAACAAAGAGATGATGCGCAGGCGGTATCAACGGCGCGCTCACTGTAAAGTTTAAATTTACTTTGATTAAAATTGTTTTAATAACATACCGAGATGCTTCGCGCTGTCCAAATAGTTTTACGATGGCGTGTAAAATTATCATAAAATAATACAGGATAACGGTGACGTTGAACGACGCTGCCAGTCTCGATATTCGCGTTTTCTCGCGTTTTAATCGGAATTTAACGACCAGACAGAACGATAAAAAAATACTTGTGGAATTTTTAATTTCATGTCGTCGATTCTTATCAATGTTCGTTTGTTGTTTTCGTCGCAATGCTCTAGCAGGGCACTGTTTTCTTTTTAATAATGCAATAAAAGACGTACGCTATTAATATTAATGCAAGTTTAAAAAATTTTATTTAACATTTAATATTGGCAAAATTTTATTTAGAAAATACAATAATTTTATAAACAGTATTAGTCTGTTTTATAAACATTTAATATATATATATATATAAAATTTGTTAAAAGAATCATCGAAGTAAGTGTTGGAATTGTACCACATTCCATAAAATCCAAAGAGTGATCAGATACTTTAATAATATTAATAAAAAATTTTTTTCAAATATCTAAAAGTTCCAAAAAATCCCAAAACGGTTTATCTACACTGTTTCTAAATACTTATGCAAGCTGCAAAATATTTGTTCCGACTTGTTGCAAAAAGCAAAAGCAAATATACGTGTACGTTCTACCTCGTTGGAACGACAATTAGTCACGTATACATCGAGATTGCCATTCGCGGTACGAGAGAATCTCCGGCTCAGCCTTTTACATCCATTGAGAAAACCTTACTCGTTCGCGAATTGCATCTTTCGCAGATTAGCACT